AAAATCTCTATTGTGATTTTTAAGTATACATTTATAAAAGATATCTTCAAAAATCAACTTTGAATGTAATATAATTTGTTATTGGCGACAAACAATTAATCGAACGCATTTAATCGAACATAAAATAATTTTCAGCCTGCCGGTTTGCTGATGTTCCCCGAATCGACCGACGAAGTGCCCAGTGCCCACCACCGATGTCGAAAAAGACAAACTAATTTCCGTGATAATTTAAATTTTGCCATTCAACATTCCAATAAGGGCAAACGCAGTGTAATCGAAAAACATTTGGAAGGCATCAAGCATTGGGGCCTAAATCGACATGACAAAATCAATCAACCGTCCCATTGTATTGCGAAATCGACGCCAAAGGAAGAAATTGAATGATAAAATCATTAATCTTCCGTATTTGATGTTCCTAGACATTAATGTTTGTGCTATCGTTTGCAATCGTTCGCGTGGTTTTTCGTCATAGCCATTTTAATAAAAAATTATTTTGTGATCAAAATGGAATTGTTTAATGAATACAAAACATCGTATTCAGTTGGAATATCGAAATCAAAAATGGATGTGTTGCAAATCATTAATGAATCACAAACGATCCAGGATCGAACAACCATCAACGAAAAAATCATCTTGCTTTTGCTTTTTATGTGAAAAAAAGTTGTGTTTTCTCGATGTGTTTATGAATTCATATGTGAAATTTGCTAGAAATTGAAGAACTTTTCATTTCCAGTTCATAAAATGGGCGAAATAACGCATAAACAATTTGATGTTCGTGAACATCAATATTGGTGACAAGCAAGCTTCACTTTTTTTCCACTACGAAGTACACGGGCGCTGCTTGTACGAAATTCCGTTTGTATGAAGCATGTCACGCCGATGGCTCCAGCTTCATAACGAACTTTATCCTTGAAAGCGGTTGAATTCTTAATTTCATCCAATGCAGCGATTATTTTGCCAAGATTCAGCCGAAGTGGTTTCATTGCAGCGATTCGACTGGACCATCGAGTTGTACAAAGGTTTTTCGGAGCTAACGTTGAAGCTGTCGTGATATGGCTTTTCATAATATCCCACCGATTCGAAGAACCTGAAAGAAATTTATAAATTTCTTCGACCAAAGAAAAAAAACTAACGGTTGCCCCCGATGCAGCAGCAGCTTCATTCACAACAAGATTTAGTGAGTGGTTTGAACATGGTACAAAAAATGCTCTTGGGTATTTTTCCAGAATTAGGTTCTGCACGCCGATGTTTTTCCCTTTCATGTTCGCGCCATTATCATAGCCTTGACCTCTCAAGTTTTCGGGATCTAATCCAAGTGATTCCAATTCATTGATTGCCATTTCTTTGATCCCAAGTCCAGTTTTTTCGTGCATTTCCAAGAATTCAAATTTTGCTTATATTTCTAGCGCCTTTTTCAAATTTCAAAATGTAAACAGTACAATATCGGCGCTCATTCAAATGATTGACAAGTATATTTAAACACTTTTAGCGCTCTTTAAAACTCATCTTGCGGTTTTTTAAATGTAATCGTCAGTAAAAATTGGTCGTTATGTGTTTAAATACATAGAAATAGAACACTCGCGCGCCTTCGGCGCGCTCGCATTAATTAAATTTGAGAATTTTTATTCTCGCGCGCCTTTGGCGCGCTCGCTTTAATATACCAATTTTTGCGCTCGCGCGCCTCGGTGCGTTGCACCGGCGGTTGGACAGGCGCTGCTCACTTGCTATGTCGTTCATAACCCACACACTCACACTAACGTTATTCATGAACTATGTCGATGAGTAAGTGAATGAGTGAGTGAATACGTATGAGATGAATGCATGAGCCTTATGTAGTGTTTGATATCACACGAATAGAGCGTTGTCTGTGAACAAAGCATGTTTTGAAAATGCGCTCAAACGTGTTTCGATTGTGCAGGTTTTTGGGTCAAAGGGGTGGGTCGATGGGGTCGGGAGGGAGTTTTTCGGGAAGTACAAAATTAGTACATATTTATAGGCCATAGTACAAAATTATTTGGGCGATGTACAAAATTTTTGAATTTTGGTGTATTTGCACTGGAAAGTGAAAATCGATTTTTTTTATCAAATAGGCCATAGTACAAAATTATTTGCAGCAATACAAAAAATTTATACCAGTTATACCAGTTTTGTCCCAAAATGCGGTTTTATACCAGTTTCATAAAATCCACAGGAATGAAGTACAAAATTTTTTGAATGCTTGTACGCATAGTACATAATTAGTACATAATTATAGGACTTCTAACTTTCCATTTTTCAAAAGTCACCGTCAGATTGTAACAGAGCCCAAAAAATTATTCCACAATTGATTGGTATTTTTGTTGTTTTTGGACCGTTGCACGATGATTATATGCGTACGTTCTGAATTTCTTCACATTTGAATCGCAGTTTTCAATCGTTTGACAGTTCACACAACCAAACAACAATTATTCCCGCACATCCGAAGTGTCAAAGTGGCATGCGTGTCTCTATTGGTAAAATCGACGGTTGCACTGGAATTTGAATTTCTATGGTTTTGATAATATTTTTAGGATTTAAAAAATACTTGAAGTGAAGCAAAGAGAACCACTGGATAGAAAAAACGCAGTAAATTAAATGAAAATATCTGAATTGTATTGATCGACTGTTCACACTCTTTGCAAAATAACTCTTTCACTTGTTTTGGTGTTTGACCAAACCGTAACACTACTGCGCGAATCACTGTGTGCGAACTACTTTTTATTCATTCGGGCAAGTGTATTGACAATCCTGTATAATGTTAAATGAGTCTAGAATTTGTGATGACAGTTCGGTTTGCTCCAAATTTGTCTTTCTGCATTTGTTCGATCGCATATTTTGATAAATTCAGATCGTTTGTTGATGAGAAATCAATAAATTAATCACAACAAAAAAATCATGCGTTGCAATAAAAATCATTTAAATAAAACATTCCGCGCATTCATTCGTCATTCACATCAACTTACACATTTCACTCATATTTACGCACAACTTACGTTTCACTCACTCAAAGCATGCAAAAAATCACCCATTCACGCATACAAATCAAACAACTACACAACAAGAATTCAACAGACATACTACTACACACGCATTCATCCATTCGTCAAGCCATCCACGCATAAGAGTCGGACATAGCACAAAGCGTAGGTGAAGAAAACGCAACAACAACTATACGCCTCCACAGAGACGGTAGCTGTGTTTCCTGTATTATCACCAGCAAACGCCGGTGCACTATGTCGCCGAAGATAACACAAAGTGAAGGTGGAGAAAAAACAACAACAATTTACACACCTCACACAACCGCTGAGCGTCTGACTGATACATACATAATGAGTAAGAGCGAACAATTTATTGCCGTTCTCATTCTTTTGCATATGCTCTTACCCAACACGTGGGTATAAAAGCCCGGGCGCCGCATGGAAAAGGCCCATTTGTTTGCGACTCATTAGTAGAGCAACATCTCGGGACTCACAGCAGATCGAGTTATCTCAAGCCTTCCATAGATTGAGTAAATGTTCAACATAAGTGAAACGACGATCAAATAGCATTCAAAAACAAAACCTTACAACACTAAAAACACCAAAATATATGCATGAAACCCAATTCTTTAAAACTTAAACCTAAAACCACTATGCCGCACGGCAAAATTAAAAACTAAAACTAAAACCTTATAAAATAAACCCAACATAAATCACAGCCAGAGTCCAGAATAAAAGCAAATTACCATTCATTTTCACTCACATTCATCCTTTTTCGTACACACAATAGATAAAGCAATAGCACACCAATCAACCAACCCATCTCCCATCCAAACACATTCACACACACACATACATACACAAGTAAATACAGTCTACTCTCACATTCATATCACCTACACTAACACACACATTTAAATTACAGTGTTCCCTCAAAAACATGGTTCTTCGACTGTGAGTAGCAAGCAAGTGCGTCGACAGTGGAATGAACTAGTGCGTCAAACAGCGATTCGACCAAATCCTACGTGCACGCAGGCTCGCTTGTCACAGCAAATACGGGCAGCTCGACCAACGGCTATAGTTCGCCCAAATGTTAATTGGGTACCACCGACAGATACTTATCGGCCTACGACACCATCTTATGTGCCATCGCCGATACCAACAACAATAACAACATCAACACCGATACATTCACCAAATTATGTGCTGTCACCAATAACGCCGCCGAGAACAACATCAACACCAATACCAGCACCGGTAAAATCACTGACAGCGGCATCAACGATCGTTCAACCACCATATACAGCAAGAGCTGAAGTGTCATCGGACTCAGACGTTTTGCAGATATCTGTGTTGGAACAAGATCTCGAACTATCATCCAGTGACAGCGAAGCCCCTTTGGTTATTGACGACGAGCAAACCGAACCATCAAGAGCTCCGTCTCCACCTGTGCAACGTCGATTGCCATCACGCGCACAAGTAAATCGAGAACGGTTTGCGGCCATCACACCGTTTATATTGCCAACCATTTCAGCACCGCCTCGACGAGAATTATCACCGACATTCGCTAGATTCAATCCTGGTTTAGCTGCACCACCAAAATCACAAGACAATTCAGCTCAACCAGCCATCGTGATTAATAATTACTACGGTGTGAATCTACCGAATTCTCTGCCCCAATTTGCACCACGAGAAGCCGATGTTCGCCGTATGACTCGTGGCCGATTCGCTCGATTCTGTAAACGGTCAACACAACGCCAAATTGCGGAGGCTCTGGCTCTACGAAAAGAATTTAAACGCAGCCAACCATACTGAACAAACAAAACCAAATTTTCAAATTGCCAAATAATTGAATTTTCGGTATAACTAAAGTTGAAGGAATACTCAAGAAATCAATCGATTCATATGCCATTAAATAGCTTAAGTCACCTTTCCAAAAGAGTATAGCATAGGTATCGCTCCCCCTATCCCTCATAAATCGAGTTATGTATAGGGAGGATGCAAAAATCGCATGTGACTGCCGGAGGCCATTACTCCCGACCCATTGGAGATAGCTGACTACTTATTGGAGCAATATTACAGTACTCGTGAGTAACTTTCCACTCATATATATGGTACTCCCCTCAGTCCTCCCCTTCATGAAAATATAGGCTTTGGAAGAATTTTTTTTTTTTCATTAATTTTTCAATTCTTCGGCATTTTTGACCAAAATTCTGTAGCTTAATGATTCCAAATGCTGAAATCATTGAAAATTAGTCCATACTAGAGTAGTCCAAAAAAAAAAGTTGTCCCTCATCCGGAATGTCCGGCCAGTTTCGAAAAATATACCTCAAAAAAATAGGTTTTGTCTAAAAAAATCACATGGGTACCATACAAAATCATGAGGCAAGAA